GGCCCAAGGGAGGTTTTCTGCCAGCGAATTGGCACCCATGAAGTCCACGCTTGTGGACAGAGGCCATCCATCTTAGAACAGGGGACTCCAACCTTGGCAACTTTAAGCCTGGCGGACTTCAACTCCCAGAATTCCTCAGCCAGTCCTCCAGGCTTAAAGTTGCCAAGGTTGGAGACCCCTATCTTAGAACGTTCCATCTGGGCCCGTGATGGCGAACCTATGGCACGCGGGCCACATGTGGCAGGTGGAGCCATATCTGTGGGCATGCGAGCATTGCCCTAGCTCAGCTCCAGTGTGCATGCGTGTGCCAACCACCTGATTTTCAGGTCTTCCGGGCCCACCGGAAGTCAGGAAACGGGCCGTTTCTGGCCTCCAGAAGGCCATCAGGGGGGTGGGGAAAGCTGTTTTCACCCTCCCCAGGCGCCTAGGAAGCCTCTGGAGCCTGGGGAGGGCAAAAAACGGGCCTACTGGGCCCACCGTGCCATCACGTGCCAAAACCGAGGGAAGTGCGGGAGGGGGGGGTGTTGTGTGCGATTCCGCAGAGGGTGGGTGGGGCGTATTGAATTACGTGCGCCCATGGCCCCCCTCTGCGCTCCCCCAACTTTTGGCACGCGATGGCAAAAAGGTTAGCCATCGCTGCTCTAGGCAAACAATGCCTTTCTCCTCGTAAGGCCACTAAGCCACTGATGCATTCAAATGCTGGGGATTCTCTTCAGGCTTGAATCGGGTTCAAAATTAGGGAGGAAATCTTCAGCGGGTCGTGGAGAGCTCAGCCAAGCGGGGAGGGCCAGACCAAGCCAATGCCAGCCGTTCTGCCAAGCTCGACGGCGAACTGAGGCATCCAAGCCTATGCCAGGGGTTTTATTTAAGCCGTAACAATTAATTAAGAAGCTAAACGGAAGGCGCCATTGGCTAACCTGCAGAGAAAACGCAGGATACCGATACGGGGGTATCAAACCTCCGACCTAAAAAGCCAACAGACCGAAATTCCTCGAAAAATAAATTTCAGCAGCACATCCATTGGCTGCAGGAGGAGTCCAAGGATTGCAAGAAAACACACACACAAAAAAAGGAGTGAAAAAAGAATATATATAAGTTGCTGGCAAATAGGGCCCTTCCTATTTAACGTTATTGTACAACTTAACGTGTTAGAATGATATGTTGACATGCTAGAACAATTAATAAGTGGAACAACTTGCCTCCAGAAGTTGTGAATGCTCCAACACTGGAAATTTTTAAGAAGAGATTGGATAGCCATTTGTCTGAAGTGGTGAAGGGTTTCCTGCCTAAGCAGGGGGTTGGACTAGAAGACCTCCAAGGTCCCTTCCAACTCTGTTATTCTATTCTATTCTATTCTATTCTATTCTATTCTATTCTATTCTATTCTATTCTATTCTATTCTATTCTATTCTATTCTAATTCTACCCTACCCTACCCTACTCTACTCTACTCTACTCTAGACTCCTGTGTTGGTGTGAACATCTTTTCAAAGTGTTTGCTGTAGAATTTCCAACAGCTGCCCTGGCAATTTTTAAAATTCTCGTTGGGCTCCTGTTCCTCTAACTGCTGCGTGATGGAATAAATTAAATACGCGAAGCTCCCCTCCGTCATTTTTCTTTCTGTTAAAAGAACACCGATCTCAGGAGGAGAAACAGCAATCTATTTGTTGTTTGACACTTAGCACCAAATGGAAAGCACTTTGTCTGCTCAGATCGTCTAGGGGGGATTTTCGTCTTCATCCTACTGAGAAGTTGGAAGTGAGTGAGGCTGGGTGGAGAATCCATCTCGCCTCAAACTCTTTGTGTAAGCAACTTCTCTTTAGAATAATCTGGTGTGTATTGTGGCAGATCTCAGCATCTCATCCTGCTGGGGCAGAATAACACAATAACAGAGTAACAGGGCAGGGAGGGACCTTGGAGGTCGTCTAGTCCAGCCCTCTATTCAAGCAGGAGACCCTATACAATTCTGGACAAATAGCTGTCCAATCTCTTCTTAAAATCTTCCAGTGATGGAGCAGCCACAACCTCTTGAGGCAAGCTGTTCCACTGGTTATTTTTCTCATTGTCAGGAAATTTCTCCTTATCTCTAGGTTGGTTTTCTCTATGATTAGTTTCCATCCTTTGCTTCTTGTCCTGCCTTTTGGTGTTTTGGAGAATAGCTTGACTCCCTCTTCTTTGGGGCAGCCCCTGAGATATCGGGACACTGCTATCATGTCTCCCCTAGTCCTTCTTTTCATTAAACTAGACATACCCAGTTCCTGCAACCGTTCTTCATATGTTTTAGCCTCCAGCACCCTAATCCTCTTTGTTGCTCTTCTCTGCACTCTTTCTAGAGTCTCCACATCTTTTTTACATCGTGGCAACCAAAACTGGATGCAGGATTCCAAGTGTGTCCTTACCAAGGCCTTATAAAGTGGTATTAACACCTCACATGATCTTGATTCTATCCCTCTGTTAATGCAGCCTAGAACTGTGTTGGCTTTTTTTGACAGCTGCTGCACACGGCTGGCTCATATCTAAATCGTTGTCCACTAGGACTCCAAGATCCCTCTCACAGTTACTGCTACTGAGCCAGGTTTCACCTAATCTGTATGTATGTATATCTATCTATCTGTAGGTCTTTGGTTATTCGGGTTTTCTCCCGAATAATATATATTGGCCAAAGTGTAAAATCTTATTTTTCTCTACACTGAATTTCATTTTGTTAGATAGGGCCCAGGATTCAAGTCTTTTGAGATCCATAGATAGATAACATTGCTTCTTCTGCTCTTGTGTCCTTCATTGCCAACAGACTTAAAGGTGGTAAATGGTAGGCTTTTTCATGCTTCACTACAATTACTTGGTCTGTTGTGTGGATGTTTGGGTGGTTTAGGGGTAGGGAATTGTGGTGGGTGGGGGGGGTTTGGGGGATTGTTATGTGTGTTGGACCTGATCTTTGTGTGTTAAGTGAATTTCGTTGTATGGGTATACTGTGTATACATGTACAATGACAATATTATTATTATTATTATTATTATTATTATTATTATTATTATTATTACTCCAAGATCCCTCTCACAGTTACTGCTACTGAGCCAGGTTTCACCTAATCTGTACATATGTATGTATGTATGTATGTATGTATGTATGTATGTATGTATGTGTGTGTGTGTGTATATATATATTATATATATATATATATATATATATATATATATATATATATATATATATATATAAATATATATTATATATATTTATATATATATATATATATATATTATATATAAGATAGGGCCCAGGATTCAAGTCTTTTGAGATCCATAGATAGATAACATTGCTTCTTCTGCTCTTGTGTCCTTCATTGCCAACAGACTTAAAGGTGGTAAATGGTAGGCTTTTTCATGCTTCACTACAATTACTTGGTCTGTTGTGTGGTGTTTGGGTGGTTTAGGGGTAGGGAATTGTGGTGGGTGGGGGGGTTTTGGGGGATTGTTATGTGTGTTGGACCTGATCTTTGTGTGTTAAGTGAAGTTCGTTGTATGGGTATACTGTGTATACATGTACAATGACAATATTATTATTATTATTATTATTATTATTATTATTATTATTATTATTATTATTATTATTATTATTTAATCTTTAGTGAGATTCATAGCCTTTGAGGCCGGTTAATAGCTCAGCAGCTCGAGTCCTAACCAAGGATCTAGGAAGGTATCGTTGGAGAATGTAAACTGTTCCAAGTAAGGTGGTTTTTTGTCGAGTCAAAATGTTCAAGTCCGGCAAATTTAGAATTTCTAAATAGCGGGGTAGCCCTTTGGGTATTGCTCCAATTACAATCGGGACAACACACGATTTCTTTTTCCACAATCGCTCAACTTCATTGATATTATTATTATTATTATTATTATTATTATTATTATTATTATTTCATTAAAAATGAAACTCAGTCAATTGGACATTTAAAAATGTGTCACAGATACGATTGACTGGTGCTAATGGCTGATAGGGGTTGCTGCCAGCGTCCTAGGTATCAACCAAGTACCTTCTTAAGATGTACGATGTTCCAAGTAGTGCAGTTTTTTGCAGTTCTGCTGGTGTCATTGCAGGGAGCTGCAATTTCTTGATGTGTTTTGTAAAATTCTTGGACCTGGTACCAAGTGCCCCAATGACAATGGGTATAACGGTTACATGTTTCATCCATAGCTGTGTAGTTTCGATGGCCAGGTCACGATATTTCATGATTTTTTCCAGTTCTTTTTCTTCAACTCTGGCATCTCCTGGTACCGCGATGTCAATAAATTGTACATTTCGGTTTTCGACAACTGTGATATCTGGTGTGTTGTGTTCCAAGTGACGATCCATCTGTATTCAAAAGTCCCACAAGATCTTCACCTTTTCATTTTCTATAACTTTTTCCACTTTATGTTCCCATTACTTTTTGGATACAGGTAAGTCGTATTTTTTACATAATGGCCAGTGGATTAATTTAGCAACTCGGTCGGGTCTAGCTTTGTAATCAGTCTGTGCGATTTTGCTGCATTCGCATATGAAATGTGAAACAGTTTCGACTTTGTTGTTGCCAAATCGGCAGTTTGGATTGTCGGTGGATTTTTGTATCTTTGCTTTCATGGCATTAGTTTGTAGTGCTTGTTCTTGAGCAGCGAGTATTAAGTTAGTATTAATTATAGCATATTAATTAAGTTGTTGTTGTTGTTGTTATTATTAATGACCAAAGCAGCATGGCAGCATCATGGTCATTTGGACACGTGTGGCCTTGCATGTTGATGCTAATCATCACTAAAATGCCCAAAGTGGCATGGCCCTTTGGACATGTGTGGGCAATGAATGTTGATGCTAACCACTAGAATGATCAAAGCACGAGGGCCCTTTGGACATGTGTGGGCTTGCATGTTGATGCTAACCGTGCCACTCTGACCCCTTGCCTCCCCTTGAAGATGCTGCAACGGGCAGGCTCAGGAGAAAACCAAAATGGCAGCTCGGTTCTGTGGCCCTTACCGTTTCCTCCCATTTCTGGAGGCCTTCAAGCAAAACCAGCAGCAGTTGTTGTAGGTCTATCAGGGGCTGTTTCCGCAGATTCCGGTCCAGGCTCACCCGACACAATAGTGAGATGATGGCCAGGCGTTGGTGGTCTGGGTAGCAGCGCGGCTGGGTTGTCACGCACAATGCCAGGAACTAGAGAGGAAAGGAGAAACCAAAATAGTTATCAGGAGGACGTGACGGTGTTTCCCTAAAAGGCTGACTCAGCCGAGGCAGGAAAGGAAAGGTGGAGTGCGGATAAAAGCAGGAGGCAGGGTCATTCCATGACCCGTTTGGAGTATCGCAGAAGGGTCTTCCTGCGCTTTTCTGCCACGCTGGTAATTTCCATGCCAGCTGGGTGTGTAAAGCCACTGACCCTCCCGTGAGCCAGCTGGAGCTGGGACAATCAGCCACGTAGCGGCTGAAGTCAGACCCCGGGGAAACCTTGCATCCGATGACAGAGCAGTCCGATGACAATATACTGGTTATGAGTCATGGTGGCGTGGTGGTTAGAACGAGGTACTGCAGGCTAATTCTGCTGCCTGCCGGCTGCCTGCAATTTGGCAGTTCGAATCTCACCAGGCTCAAGGTTGGCTTAGCCTTCCATCCTTCTGAGGTCGGTGACATTGTAAACCGCTTAGAGAGTGTTGTGAAGCACCATGAAGTGGTATATGTCTAAATGTTATTGCTGTTTTCCTTTCCTTCCTTCCTTCCTTCCTTCCTTCCTTCCTTCCTTCCTTCCTTCCTTCCTTCCTTCCTTCCTTCCTTCCTTCCTTCCTTCCCTCCCTCCCTCCCTCCCTCCCTCCCTCCCTCCCTCCCTCCCAGTGGTTAGAATGCAGAATTGCAGGCTAACTCTGCCCACTGCCAGCAGTTCAATCTTAACCAGCTCAAAGTTGACTCGGCCTTCCATCCTTCCGAGGTGGGTAAAATGAGGACCCAGATTGTTGCAGTCAATATGCTGACACTGTAAACCACTTAGAGATAGATGTAAAGCACTGTGAAGCGGTATATAAGTCTAAGTGCTAAATGCTATTGCTATTAACCTGTGCTTTAAACCTTAGGAAGACCTTTTGCCCCTAAGTTCCGTTTGCTGATCATCATCTCCTTGGCTTGATGTCCCTGGGCTCTCTTATCTCTGGCCACTTTGGGGGTTCTTCTACTTTGCAGTGCGCTTTTCAGAACCCTCCAAAATGTATGAAAGATTGGTAAAGTAAATAGAGAGACTTCCAAAACAGAATAATAAGTAGCTCAGAGTTGAAATGAGGGGTCCTTGGTGCTCTCTGAGCTTGGTGGTTTTCTTGCAGATGTTTCATTACCCAACTTGGTAACATCATCAGTGCTAGAACGGAGTGGGGTTTGCAGGGAGGAGGAGGAGGAGGAAGACGCCTATGGGGTCCTTGGTGCTCTCTGAGCTTAGTGGTTTTCCTGCAGTTGTTTCATTACCCAATCATCAGTAACATCATCAGTGCTAGCAGGGAATTAGATAAACTAGGTAACGTCATGAGTGAAACGTCTGTAAGAAAAGCTCAGAGAGCACCAAGGGCCCCTCCTAGATAGGGGGACCCCTTTTTTTAACCAACACACAGACCTGAGAAGCAATTATGTTCAAGGATACACACACAGACATGCACATCAGGTATTCAAGGTTATGTTTAAATACATTTCAGTCTTGAATAAACAGCAACAACCACAGAAAGATGCAGGCTGAAAAAAATACATCAAACTCCTCAAAATCCAAAAATCGCAGGAACGATTCCGCCAACAGCACCAACTCGACTTTCCGGTGTCAAATGGAGGCGACAATAGCCGGTTCTTGTACAGCGAACAAACAGGGGCTGCAAATTGTTGCCGGGGAGTTCAAGTCGCTGTCTATGATCTGGTTGTGTCTCTTTGCGATAAATGCCGACTGAACATGTCAAGTGAGCGGAATAAAACTGACGTGTTTGGTTTTCTCTCTGAGACAGACGCTGATAAAGCGAAGGCAGGTCGAAGTGGCTTCGCGAAAAAGAATGGGACGAGAAGCAGGAAGCGCCAATAAACATCCAAAGCATCACCTTTGAATGGATTAATAGACGAGTCAAAAAGAGGGCTGTGAAAATATCTACAGACCCCTTGCATCCTGGACATCAACTGTTTCTGCAGGGTTCGAATCTCGCCAAGGCTCAAGGTTGACTCAGCCTTCCATCCTTTCTAAGGTAGGTAAATTGAGGACCCAGTTGTGGGGGCAATAAGCTGACTTTATATAAATATACAAAAGGATGAAGGCTATTGCTGAGCACATTGTAAGCCGCCCTGAGTCTTCGGAAAAGGGCGGCATATGAATCAAATAAAACAAACAAACAAACAAAAAAAACTGTTTCTACTCCTATCCTCAAAACGACGCTATAGAGCACTGCACACCAGAACAACTAGACACAAGGACAATTTTTCTCCGAACGCCATCACTCTGCTAAAGAAATAATTCCCTCAACACTGTCAAACTATTTACTAAGTCTGCATTACTATTAATCTTCTCATCGTTTCCACCACCCACCTCCTTCCACTTATGACTGTATGACTGTAATTTTGTTGCTTGTATCATTACGATTTATATTGGTTTATTCAGTTTCCTAGTATGATTTATGTTGATTGCTTATTTAGTGTCCTATGACTAACACTAAGTGTTGTATCTTATGATTGATGATGAATGTATTTTTAGGATGACTATGATCATCATTTATCACTTATAGCTTTTATGTACACTGAGAGCTTATGCACCGAAGACAAATTCCTTGTGTGTCCAATCAGGCTTGGCCAATAAAGAATTCCACTCCATTCCATTCTATCTCCATTCTTCTATTCTATTCTATTCTATTCTATTCTATTCTATTCTATTCTATTCTATTCTATTCTATTCTATCTCCATTATTCTATTTCTATTCTATTCTATTCTATTCTATTCTATTCTATCTCCATTATTCTATTCTATTCTATTCTATTCTATTCTATTCTATTCTATTCTATGCTATGCTATGCTATGCTATGCTATGCTATGCTATGCTATGCTATGCTATGCTATGCTTCTATTCTATTTATTCTATTCTATTCTATTTCCATTATCCTATCCTATCCTATCTATCCTATCTATCCTATTCTACTATCCATTATTCTATTCTATTTTATTCTATTCTATTCTATTCTATTCTATTCTATTCTATTCTATTCTATTCTATTCTATTCTATTCTATCTCCATTATTCTATTCTATTCTATTCTATTCTATTCTATTTATTCTATTCTATTTATCTCCATTATTCTACTCTATTCTATCTATTCTATCTCCTATTCTATTCTATTCTATCTCCATTATTCTTCTATTCTATTCTATTCTATTCTATTCTATTCTATTCTATGCTATGCTATGCTATGCTAGCTATGCTATGCTATGCTATGCTATGCTATGCTATGCTATGCTATGCTATGCTATGCTATCTCCATTCTTCTATTCTATTTCTATTTTTATTTCTATTTCTATTTATTTCTATTTCCATCCCATCCCATCCCATCCCCATTCCCATTCTATTCTCCAGGTCATGGGATAACAGCTTCCAAAACCCTTTGAAGAGGTTGAAGAATCCAAATTTGTGTGCGTGGGGGGGGTGCTCAGTGCTCTCTCTTGTTGGGTTTTCTTCCAGGTCTAGAACAACTTGCCATGGCCAACTCATCACAGCCAACTCGCTGCAAGACAACTGACCGCGGGACAAGAGTTACACAACAACTCTATTTGTTATCGACTAGATAGAATGAAGGTCAAAAGGTCGCGAATTTGGGGAAGCCAAATTCATTTAACTGCCGTGTTACTAATTTAACAACTGCAGGTATTCGCTTAACAAAAGTGGCAATGAAAGTGGTAAAACGGGGCAAAACCTGCTTTAAAATTTTCTCACTTAGCCACAGAAATTCTGAGCTCCATTTTTGTGGTCGTAAATCGAGGACTATCTGTATTTTCTCCATGACAACCTGCCTCCAATGGTGGACCCAACATCACCGAAAGGAGCTTCTTCCACCTTGCTTGCTGCTTCTCTTCTTCTTTTCTTGCCTAAGCAGGGGGTTGGACTAGAAAACCTCCAAGGTCCCTTCCAACTTCTCTTCTCTTCTCTTCTCTTCTCTTCTCTTCTCTTCTCTTCTCTTCTCTTCTCTTCTCTTCTCTTCTCTTCTCTTCTCTTCTCTTCTCTTCTCTTCCCTTCCCTTCCCTTCCCTTCCCTTCCCTTCCCTTCCCTTCCCTTCCCTTCCCTTCCCTTCCCTTCCCTCCCCTCCCCTCCCCTCTCCGTTCCATGCTCCTTTGACATTTAGTCATGCCGGCCACATGACCACAGAGACGTCTTTGGACAGCGCTGGCTCTTCGGCTTTGAAAGGGAGATGAGCACCGCCCCCTAGAGGCGGGAACGACTAGCACATATGTGCGAGGGGAACCTTTAACTGAGCTCCATTCAGTTGCCCAGACTCCATCCCGCAAGGAATTATGGGGTCGTTAAAAGATGATGGTGATGGCCCTCTTGATGATAATTGTATGTTTTCATTTGTTCTCTAATCCACATGCAGGTCTGTCTATCTTGAGATGCTGAGCATGTTATCTTGCCAAGCGAATATTAAAGTGTACGTACCTCCCCCACCGGGTTTTTCCACTGCAATCAGTTGTTCCGTTGGAGAAATCGCCAGACAGCAGTTTATTTTCCTTAAGTTATTGGGCCTGCAACATCTCTGGCTTCTAAGAAGATTGCACAGAGACCTTCTCAGCAGGTTTCCTAAAAAGCAGAGTCTTTTTTTCTTTTCTTTTCTTTTCTTTCTTTTTTTTTTTTTTTTTTTGCAAAACGTTAAAATTTTTCCCCCTCTTTAAATGCCACAGCTTTGTTTTCGGTTAAAAAAAAAAAAAAAGAAGAAGAAGAAGAAAAAGAAAAAGAAGAAGTGATCTTTGGCTTGCCTGCAAACACATCAATTGCAACTGTCTGCGGAATTTGATTGCCCCCCTGTCACCCGTTCATAGTGACAAGAAAAATTGTCCCAGCTGCACGCCGCCTATGTTTCATCGCGTGGCTTTCAATGCGACAACTCCTATTTTTCTTTTGACGCTTTCTCCGTTGCCCGTCTCTGAACGGTTGAGGGTGAAAACCCTGGAAAAATTACTCCTTGTGGCAGCGTTTTGCGGAGAGCATCAGATCTTCAGGGCCAACGTTTTCTATACCAGGAAGGCTTCCGTGGAACAAATGGCTTTTGATGCTTTAAAACTATGACAATTTCAATTATGCTTTGCCCAAGTGAAACCCTAATCCACGGATGGCGAACCTTTTTGGCACCGGGTGCCCAAACCGGAATGCGCGTGCATGTGCATTCACGTGCCAGAGCACCGGAAACCCGAATACCGGCTGGCCGGCGCACACATGCCTGTTTCTTTAGCCATTTTCAGGGCTTTTTCAGGGCGTTTTCAGGGCATTTTCAAGCTGTTTTCTGGGTCATTTTTGGGTGGTTTTCTGGCTATTTTCGAGGCTGTTTTCTGGCCATATTCAGTTGCTCCAGCATGCCTTTTATTTGGCTGTTTTTGGGGCCATTTTCTGGCCATTTTTGGGGTGTTTTTCGGGGTGTTTTCAGGCTGTTTTCCGGGCCATTTTCAAGCCGTTTTCTGGGCCATTTTTGGGTGGTTTTCTGGCCATTTTCCAGGCTGTTTTCAGGCCATATTCCGGCGCTCCAGCATGCCTGTTATTTGGCCATTTTTGGGGCCATTTTCTGGACCATTTTCAGGCTGTTTTTCGGGGTGTTTTCTGGCTGTTTTCTGGGCCATTTTCAAGCCATTTTCTGGGCCATTTGGGGGCGGTTTTCTGGCCGTTTTCCAGGCTGTTTTCTGGCCATCTTTTGGCACTCCAGCATGCCTGTTATTTGGCCATTTTTGGGGCCATTTTCTGGGCCAATTTCAGGCCGTTTTTCAGGGTGTTTTCATGCCATTTTTGGGGGCATTTTCAGACCGTTTTCGGGCCATTTTCAAGGCTATTATTGGGCCGTTTTCCGGTGCTGCAGCGCCTGCGAAGACATGCCGGAAACCAGAAGAGCAGCTGGTAACGGCACGCATGCCGACAGAGAGGGCTCTGCATGCCACCTCTGGCACACGTGCCATAGGTTTGCAATCACGGCCCTAATCCCTTGGTTTAGTGGCACCACAATTCAACTGGCACGAGGAGTATTTCACTCTGTGACAAATGGAGGATTAACAAGGAAGCCACCAGAGCAGGTGGTGGTAGATGTGCAAGAGCTAATAATCAATAAAGATAGTCCTCTAGAGCCCCAAATTTCTGCTGCTAAGTGAGTCGTTTCTTAAGTGAATTCTGCCCCGTTTTACGACTTTCCTTGACATGCTTGCTAAACGAATCCCTGCTTTTCATAAATTAGTGACACGGTTGTTAATCGAATCTGGCTTCCCCACTGGCTTGGCTCGTCAGAAGGCCGCAAAAGGGGGCACTGCAACCATCATAAATATGAGTCGGTTGCCAAACATCAGAATATTGATCGCATGATCATGGGGATATTGGAACAGTCGTAAGTCTGAAAAATGGCCATAAGTCCCTTTTTTTCAGTGCCGTTGTAACTTCGATTGGACACTCAACGAACGTGTTGTGACTCCGACCCCCGAGGCCGACTTATTGGAGGGAGAAGGCTCCGAACATGAAGGACAGGAGTTGGCCAGGCCTCCCTCTCCAGGACCCTCCTCTCTGGCAATGCCTCAGGTGTCTCCCGAAGGAGAAGAGATTGGCCAGGAGCCAGGTATCTCCTCGCAGTCGGACAGTGACGGAGATAAGTCTTGGCTGGATCCACGCCAGCGTCAGAGAGACAAGCGCACGCAGCAGAAAAGGAGGCATGCCAGAGATTAAGCTGAGTCACTGGACCACACCCCACAGGGGATAAAAGGGGGTGAGGTGGCCATTCAGACTCTGTGACGGACAAAACTAACTACTAGCGAGTCGCATTGTATCTTTTAAACAATGTTATCTGCCTTGGATTTAATACGGACTGGACTTGACAATTCTTGAACTGTGTGTATCTTGTTTGGGTTTATCTGTCAGAGGAACACCCCCTCCCTCTATGAGTAAAGTTCTTGGCAAGCAGCTACTGGCTGCCAATCCTCTTATCAAAAGAATTTATTGTCTGCCAGTTTTATTTAACCCCTGGCTATCTGTTTGTGTGCGTGTGTGAGACGGGGACAGAACAGAACTCTTATTCAATTGAGGACTGCCTGTACATCAGTTGCCCCAGATTTGGAGCTCCGCCAACGCGTTCGGACAGTTACAAGGACTGGGAAAACTTGACGTTGCAATAGAAATACAATAATGTAAAACATGAATCACAAATTGCGAATAACCTCCTTCTTATACAAAAGCGTCTCAAGATAGTTTCCAACGGGCGCTGCAGAACCATAACAGCAGGAGATTAAAAATAATGCAAAAGCATGAAGAATGAAAAAGAATATTAATACCCATTAATATTCATGCGTGGAGGGCCTGAGTGGAGAGACGGAAAGAAAGAGGACCTCAATGGGTGCTTAAAAGATATAACTGTAGGTTTCTTTTGAGATTTACTGGAGAAGATTCACCCGTAAGCAGCCAAAAGATACATTCCCTTAATATTGGTGCCTCTTTTGATGATCCTAATCACTGACCAGGTCAATAAATGTGGAGGTACTTCATCAGTCATCCCGATTCCAAGTTATCTAAGGCCATATCTATATCGAAATGGTGTTCTGACCCAGCTCCCTAAACACGACAAACCCTCTGAAGTGAACTCAAAAGATTTCTTTATTAGGAGCGCCGGCAAAAAGTTTTTCTCTCAGGCTAACAAGTCCATCTGGCTGGAAGATGAATAGTTGTCTGCCACATCTATTCATCTCCATCCCCTGCCTCTTATCCCCAGAGCTAGAGTGGGGCTTCGCTAGCAGCGGTGGCTCTTCCATCCCAAGGATCAGCCCATAGATTTCCATTGCTCTCCTCTCCTCTGCCTTCTGTGCATCTGCGCGTCAGGCACTGGACCCAGCTGTTCCTCCTCTTCCTCATCAGCCACCTCCAGACCTGGGGGCTGTTGACTCTCCATCTGAGGGCTGACGGACGGCCCAGGCTCCGCCTCTCTCTCTCTCTCTCTACCAGCTCCATTCCCTCTTCCCCCTCAGAGCTCTCAGGTTGCCTAGATGCTGACCCTCACTCCCACACCACCTCCTCTGATTTGGCTGTTGGAGGGGCCGGTGGCCGACAGGCCACAATAGATGAGAATTTAGATTCCAAATGATTGGGAACCATGATATATTCTTGGTCCTTTATGACATCACGTATTAAAATTCCTTAGATTATTTATGTTTCTGCCACACCAACCTTATCTCAACAAAGAGTGGGTAGCTAAATATAAACTGATCCACCTAAAGAAGTAGAACTATGAATTAATTCCACTTGAAATACATTTGGGATCCTGTTCTCACCAGATTCATAATGCCGCGCTTTATTAATAACAAAATTCGCTGTTTATTTCCCCCCCCCGATCAAAAATTCTAAAAGGGCAGAAAAAAGTACATGAGTGGAAATGTCATGTAAATAATGAAGCTCCGTTTCAGAAAGAGTTTAAATCGGGAAAATCTGCATACAGGTAGTCCTCAATTTACGACCATAACTGAGCCCAACATTTCTGTTGCTGTGCAAGACAGTTGTTAAGCGAATTTTGCCCCATTTTACAACCCTTTTCGCCACTGTTGTTAAGTGAATAATTGTAATTGTTAAATTAGAAACCCAGTTGTTAAGTGAATCTGGTTTGCCCCATTGAATTTCCTTGTCATGAGTTCAAATATGCTGCAAACGTCATAAAATATGAGTCAGTTGCCAAATGGCCGAAGTTTGATCACATGACCACGGGGATGCTGCAATGGTCATAAGTGTGAAGAACGGTCATAAGTCACTCTTTTCAGTGCCGTTATAACTTGAAACGGTCACTAAATGAACTGCTGCAAGTTGAACACTGCCTATGTTACAAACCAGCATAAGGAAAATTCGGGTAGCAAGTATTATTTATTTATTATTTATTTATTTATTTATTTATTATTCCAATTTATATACCGCCCTTCTCCCAAGGGACTCAGGGCGGTGTACAGCCAAAAGTAAAAACACACAAATATAAAATTTTAAAACGATTTAAAAGCATATTAAATAATTTGGCCCAGCTATTCAAATAAAACACCCGTATTAGAATTTTAAAAAAAAATTAAAAAGTTTTTAAAAATTAGGCCAGCCCGGCTTGTTGAAATAAAAATGTTTTGAAGCCACGGTGAAAGGTGCGCAAGTTGGGAATCCTCCATATCCCGGAGTAATGAAAAGCAGGGTGATTCACATGGAAAGAAGTTCTAGAAATATTCCTGTTCATGGTATTAAATTAGGGGGATAGATGTAGAATGGTGCTCGTAAGCTCCCCAGAGTCGCCAGTAGGCAAAATGGGTGGCGTATAAGTTTAAAAAATAAATAATAAAGTCCTTCCATTGCAAGATATTGAAAGTGGGAAAATTATGAAAGTTTCTACGGTTTTAAAAAAACCAAACAAACCAAATAACAATAACAAATAAATAAATAAATGGATGGATGCCTACCTTGAACGTATCTTCCAGCATTGGTATGAAGCTAAGCTGGAAGTAGATATTTTCGTTCTTAACATCTGCAGGATGAGAAGAGTATTCTGGGAATCTGCAAATGGAGAAAGAGAAAGTCAACAGAGGGGGAGCAAAGATAGACTTGACCGTTTTTTGCAACTGGAGCAGGCAGCCAATCTGAAGAGCCATGTCCACCCCTTGGAAGGTCATCAACCAAGATGACCTTCCTGACCAAGCTCCATCAAATTTGATGGGAACTTCCTGGAAATTTACAATGCTCTCCTCTAAGTTCCTCTAATGTTCCTCTCCTCTAATGAGGAGTCTGCCTCATCACTTATATTTCTGTTTTGGATTCCACTCTCCTTACTTTGGAGGAAGCCGCCTACAGTGGTGGCCAAAATTGTGGAAACCTTTTGGGAAAAGTCTATTTTCTAAAACTAGCTGATAACACCACTTTTTTTTGGAGTAGTACCATAAAATTATATATCAATGGAAAGATAATGTAATCAAAATGTAATGCAGTAACTTTTAGGAAGGATTTGCTATTAGACTAGCAGTTACATTAGAAAGAAGAAAAGTGAAACATGTAGAAAAAACGAGAGATACAAAAATGATCACCATGTCAGTTAATACTTAGTGGAGTAACCTTTAGCATGAATTACGGCCTTACAACGTCTTCCCATGGAGTGAACCAAGTCTTTGAGTTCTGCAGCTGAAACCAAGATTGAATGATGGCTTCTATTAACTGGGTTTTATTGCTGGGTCGCTTCTGACTAACCAGTTTCTTTAGTCGGCTCCATAGATTTTCAATTGGATGAAGATCTGGGCTATTCCCAGGCCATTCCAGCAGTGGAATAGGATTATCTTGAAACTCCAAAAGGTAACTGGGTTGTTTTTTTTCTTGAGGAAGAAGAAGAAAACATTTGGCTTCTCCTCCAAGAAGCTGTTTTCCTTGAGGAGGAAGAAGAATCTGATGACAGTGAAGCTTTTTGGATGAGAAGCCGAAACGGTTTCTTCTTCCACAAGGAAAAAAAAAACAGTCCAGTTACGTTTTGAAGAAGAAAAAAGGCATTTGAGGTGAATTCGGGATGTTGGAAGTCCACAACTCTCAAAGATTGCCAAGGATGGACACTCCTGGTTTAAATGGACTCCTTCAAAATCAAATTCAATGCAGAGTACAATTTCGAAAGCCCCCAATGGAAAGGTCTCATATGATCCAGAAACTGTTTAATATTGGCTACTTTTCTAGGAAGAGAAAAATGAGAAAAATCATGGGAAGTTGGGGTTGTTTGAATTCTAAACCAAATCCAAAGGGTTCCAAATTCTAAAGGAGCCTTGGTGGCACAGCGGACTAAAGTGCTGTTAAGTAGCACTTAGCTGCCAGCTGCCTGCAATTACTGCGAGTTCAATTCTCACCAGGCTCAAGGTTGACTCAGCCTTCCATCCTTCCGAGGTCGGTAAAATGAGGACCCGGATTGTGGGGGCAATAAGCTGACTTTGTATAAAAAAAGAACACCGCTTAGGGGGGGCCGAAAGCCCTACTAAGCAGGTATATACAAAAGTATGAAGGCTATTGCTTAACACGTTGTAAGCCGTCCTGAGTCTCCGGAAAAGGGCGGCATATAAATCGAACCAATAAATAAATAAAATAAATAAATTGGAATCCTGGGCATCCCCCTAATTTAAAACATTAGGTAACAGCGCTTCTGATGGCAACCTTCCTCCCAACACGCGCAATTTCCCATTCACGGACTTCAATGCCAAGAATTTTCAGAGTATAACCATTCAATTAAAGTTCAATTAAGAGAAGAGCTGTAAATCAGGAACAGAAACATTTAGAACACAACAGATTGAATCCTGATTTATTCATGGTCGGAATAATTATGAGTTAAGATCGACGTGACTCAAGAGTCCTGACTGAGTGAACTTAATCCAGGCCTAAAGCAATAGTTGGGGTTGATGAGCTAAGATTGCAACATATCTCATTTCTACATTATGCTAGATTTGACCCAAGTTTTACAAAATGCATTTTTAACCCATCATGCTTCTATCATTCCCAACCAGGGGTGAAATGCTCCCAGTTCGGACCAGATCACCCAATCCGGTAGCGATGGCATTGGGTGGTTCGGAGAACCGGTAGCAAAAATCCCTGCCCCCACCCACCCAATGCCCAGCTTAGCCGCGCAATCATTAAAGGCTTTTTTAAACTTTTAAAAGCATTTTTTCTACAACCTCTTCGGCCGAAAAAATGCTTTTAAAAGTAAAAAAGAAAAAAAAAGCCTCTGATGATCACCCTGCTCATCTGGGATCGTCAGAGGCTTTTAAAAGCAGTTTTTTACAGCCTCTTCAGCTGAAGAGGTTGTAGAAAAAATGGTTTTAAAAGTAAAAAAAAAATAAAAAATTGGCCACGCCCACCCAGTCACATTAGCCCCCCCAAACAAGCCACGCCCACAGAACCAGTAGTAACAAATTTTACAAAATTTCACCACTGTTCCCAACCCTTCGATCTTGTACGATCTTCCTTCGTCCTACCTTTGGAACACCGAGAACAGGTAGAGAACATAGGAGCTAACCAGTGGTGGGATTCAAAATTTTTACTACCAGTTCTGTGGCCATGGCTTGATGGGCATGGCAGGGGTAGGATACTGTAAAATCCCCATTCCCACCCTACCCCACTAATCTGCTTTCCAGCTCCGTTCTCCTGTGCAGGGCAACAAATGAAGACCAAGCCAATCATCCGGGACTCGATCAGTGGGACTCGAAAGGCAGCGAATAGATCCGGGACAGGACCAGCCAGAGGTGGTATTTGCCAGTTCCCCGAACTACTCAAAATTTCTGCTACCAGTTCGCCAGTGTCGTTGTCTGCATGTCACCACAATCGCAAAGGGTAGAAGCCATGGGATAACCCCATTTGTTCGGAGTGTCTTTGTATCTTGTAAAAAGCAGAGTGGGTACAACAAGACCCAGAGGCAAGTCTTAGATAAAGTAATCCTTCTACCTGCATGTTAAGCCCTGCTGGAATCTCACAATCAGGTGCCTTCCTCAAAAGCTGCGATGGTGGTTCTAGGTGGCAAGGTAGACCCTCCAGGTGTATGTGTGGGGCCGGGAGAGAGAAATGATGGGAGCCCAGAGGCCAGACAGGGCGAGACCAGAGTCCAAGGCTGCCTACCTAACCAGGGAATTCAAGCCAAGTGATCTAATTCAAGTGAATTAGAAGGATTAAGATCAAGTTAGCTACTAAGGCTGTCGGAGCACACCTAGATGAAGCAGCTGGAGGAGGCTTTATGAATGGGAAGATGGTGCACTCCCAAACCCCACAGGGCTATGGGGGTTGCAAATCTTTTTTTTTTCCTCCCATTTTGCAGTTGAGCAAGAAAAAGGTTGGTTCGGGTGTGAAGGATGACAATGCAAGAAAATGCAGCGCTACCTTGGTACTCAACTGCTTTGAAGCTCATCAAATTTGGTACTCGACACATTTTGACCAGGGATAGGCTTCAAAAATATTAGCCAGGGGATCTCTGCCCGGTTTCTGGGTGGGGGTGGCCATGGTGGGCATGGCCTAGTCAGTCTCCTGCACCACAGCAGGAGGGGGGAGTGTTTTTGCCCTCCCCGGACTCTGGAGGTTTTTCTTGAGCCTCCGGGAGGGCGAAAATGGCCTCCCCAGGCTCCAGAGGCCCATTTTTTGCCTCCCCGAACTTCCAGTAGGCCCATTTTTTGCCCTCCCCAAGCGTCCGTGTGTGCCCTGCACTTACCTGCATCCAAAACGGTCAGCGTGGGAACTCCTGGGAGGGGAGGGGAGGGGAGGGGTGGGCGGGGCCAGCCAGGAGTGGGATTTGGGGGTTCTCCAAACTGCACAGAATCCCTGATTTTGACGCAAACATTTTGTCCCGGTAGTCATCATTTCTCAAACTTGGCAATTTTAGGATGTGTGCACCTCAACTCAACGTCTTAGAGTTGCTAAGTCTGAGAAATACTAGGACTAAACCAAAAGCAGATAAGCCACATTGTGGAACAGTTGTTGTTGTTAGTTGCGAAGTCGTGTCTGACCCATCGTGACCCCATGGACAACGTTCCTCCAGGCCTTCCTGTCCTCCACCATCCTCTGGAGTCCATTGAAGCTCACGCCGACTGCTTCAGGGACTCCATCCAGCCACCTCGTTCTCTGCCGTCCCCTTCTTCTTTTGCCCTCCATCGTTCCCAGCATTGGGCTCTTCTCCAGGGAGTCTTTCCTTCTCATTAGGTGGCCAAAGTATTTGAGTTTCCTCTTCAGGATCTGGCCTTCTAAAGAGCAGTCAGGGTTGATCTCCTCTAGGACTGACCGGTTGGATCACCTTGTAGTCCAAGGGACTTGCAGGAATCTTCTCCAGCACCAGAGTTCAAAGGCCTCCATTCTTTGGCGCTCAGCCTTCCTTATGGTCCAACTTTCACAGCCATCCATTGCAACTGGGAAAACCATCGCCTTGACTATACGCACTTTCGTTGGCAAGGTGATGTCTCTGCTTTTTACTATGCTTGTGGAACAGTACAGTATTTAAATGTAGTAGAACATATTGTAGATCCTCTTTGAAGAAGACCCATCTCTCTAAGAAGGTATCGCTTACTCAAATGGGGGTGGGGAGGGAAATGGCGCATGCTCCTTTCAGCAGCAAATAATTAAATATTTGAATCTTGCCGTCACCAGCAAACTCATCTGGGATATTTGCAATTATTCAGTGATCTTGATCGAAAGTTGACATACCCCGGGCATTAAAACTAACTCCCCAGGCTCCATCTAAGCCAGGAGTGTCCAACCACGGCAACTTTAAGACCTGTGGACTTCAGCTCCAGAGTGCTATAAAGCCCTAGTAAGACCACACCTAGAATACTGCATCCAGTTTTGGTCACCACACTATAAAAAAGATGTTGGGAAAAGTTGTCTAGAAAGAGCGCAGAGAAAAGCAAATATGATTAGGGGAGTGGAGGCTAAAACATACGATGAACAGTTGCAGGAACCGGGCATGGCTAGTCTAGTGAAGAGAAGGACCAGGGGAGACAGGATAGAAGTCTTCCAAATTCCAATATTTGAGGGGCTGCTACAGAGAGGAGGGAGTCAAG